ATAGTCATTGTGAGAATGATATTGGAAATGTCTAAAACATTTACTTTTATTTCAATTGACATGTATAATTGTCTGTTGGTTGAAAACTTTTTAAAGAATTAGTCAAATAGAAGTACTAAATTGGTGCTTAGAAACCTATTTAAGATGTTTCATAGGTTCTAAGCTCAAATAGTGGTCTTAACGGTTGAGTTGGGCTAAACTTTGGTACAACACTAAATATCATAGCTCCACTAAAATGACTTATTTTCAAGGTGGTGTATGTCAGGTACTCTTTTGTCTTTTTTAAAGGCAATCCATATCCATGTAGCATTGGCATAATTGATCAATTGATAAAAGACAAAGACCTTTTGTTTGATGAATCGAAGCACAAGTTAATATTGGCCTAACATAGAATAAGAGTACAAGCAAATAAGAAAAAGAGTTAGTTTTTCAAGAGGGAGATTAGGTTTATTTAAAAGCCCGACTATATAGATTGAGGACTTTAGCTTGAAAATGAAACAAGAAGCTCAATCTATGGGTTTCATAGACCCTATCCGATTATCCAACGCATTAAGGAAATTACGTATAAATTACACCTCCCAGCCACTTGTAAAATTCACCCAACATTCCATCTTAGTAGGCTAAAAAAGATTGTACCAAGAACACATCAACCCCAACCACTATTAGATGTGCTAATCGAGGATTGAGAATTGTAATAATTACTAGAGGATTTATTAGATTTTCACATAATGCTTAAAGGTGCAGTGAAGGCTTTAGTCAAATGGCACAAGTTACCAACATGCAAAAATTTTCAAACATTTTTATCTGTTTTGTAGCAACAATTTCCTACATTTCACCTTGAAGACAATGTGTATACTTTGTGGGGATGGAGGGGAGTAGTATTGATGACAAACCATTAAAAAATCAAGTTCATATTAAAAGGATTAGGATATATAAAAGGAAGGTTAGGAAAAGGAATAAAATTATTGTAGGGATAGGGAGAGTCTAAGATTTCTTTAATACCTTTGAACCTTGTAGTACTTTCTCTCTCATGGTCACCTTGATTAGGAGGCTTTCTTATAAAATACGATTAATTTGATTTTTTTTTTTGTCTATATTAATCTAGTTCTATCAAATTGTCACATTCACAACTATCCAAAAGTGTGCTACTAGCACTTGTCACTGCTTTCACTAATTTCATTATCAAGTTATTGTTACTAGCACAGTTTTCTTTAAGAAGGGACTTGCTATTATCATAATTATCATTGTTTCTATATTACTATGTATCAAGTCTTACTTCCTTTTTTCTCTTTTTTTCTCTTATTGTTATTTTAGTACCAAACAAAATTGTTTAAAAAGGAAGAAGTGATTTTTGTAATTTAAAATTAAATTTAGCATTAAAATTTAAAATTCACAAAAAGTGAAACTAAAAATTATAAAACTAAAATTTGATTTTGATTTTTCTAAAAAAATTAACTTAAAACTAACACCACCAAACAAACTTTAGATATCAAATTTGAGGGGAAGTTGAGAAGTAGGATATAAATTTACGTAAAGCATTTTAGAAAATTCTTAACACATGACCTAAGCAGTAAATTTTATTCTTAGTTAATAGGTACCCTTAGGTGTCAAAGCATATATATATATATATATATATATATATATATATATATATATATATATATATGCGGGTATGGAGCGGGGTGGATACTTAGATACTCATACCTGCATCCATTTCCAATTAAATTTTGTGGGTTTTTACCCACATTCATACCCGTATCTATATAACGGGTAAATACCCTACTTATTATGGATAAATTTTGCGGGTATCCATCAGATATTTTACCCATTGCGATCTCTAAATTCAAGTTATCAAACTTTTGTGGAATTGGAAGATTGAATTACTTGCAGTTTGCTTGATAAACGTTCTTAACATTATCTGGGTTAAGGCAATCCTACCGACAGAAGCCTCAAGATACAATTCAACAGCCAGAAAAAATGTACAAACAAACATTCCAAATCATCCTATTTAGAGCCATTCAATACAACACAAACTATTAAACCTATATATGTGGGGAAACAAGCTATATATAATAGGCAATCTGGCCAAGCTATATATCTACTATACCTATACCTATAGCTAGAACTAGAACTCCTCCTCTACCACCCTCACCTTCAAATGTTGATTCCCACTTTTTTATTCTTTCCCACAGAAAACGGTGGCTTGCCTCCAAGCAACATAGACTTGCACCATCATCAAAGTAGATATGGCATGGCCACTGTACAAAGGTTACGCACTCTTAAGATTCATTCAATTGAAAAAAAAATAGTAGTTTCATTCACGTCTGAAAGACCAAGTTATTTCATTATCTTTTTTTCCTGTATATAATCGTCGTTATTTTCTGTCAGAGAGAAATTGCTATCTTTAATAGCATCATGCTAATACTTTTGGCGCAAAAGGACAAGGTAGCGTAAATCTTAATCACAAAATCATGGATTATGAACGGCACAGATCTGTCCATTAAATATCTTTCATTTTACAATAATTTTTTTTACAAAAATTGTTATTATTTAAAATTTTATTAATATGAACTTTTAGGCCTAAATTTAAGTATCTAAAAATAGTAAATTTATATCTAACAAAAAAGGTTTTATTACAAAAAAAGAAAAGTACATTCAGAGACTAATTGAGTGACTAAAATTTTTAAAGAAATAGGGAGACATGTAATTTTTTACGTTAAAATTGGGAATTTACTCCAATGATAAATCTTAAAGTGTTCTGAAACTGATAAAATGAAATCTGATTTCTTCAATTTCTACAGATACATGTTCAATGCTTCAAAAGTTTATTTCTTCCGTCTAAACTCTGGCCTCTATCAATCTTTCAATTAACCAGAGTAGAGGGGGCATATTCTCTCCATTGAATTACAAAAAAAAAAAAAAAAAAACACAAAAAGTGAGGACTATACAATTTGACCCTTTTTTCAGTTTCAAACTCCTATTTAAAAAAATATATATTAATAAAAAATAAATACGATCTTGTGCAGTGGTACTGTCAGTCCAGAAGATACAATATCCATCCCTAATATAAAACCTCATTCCAATTATAGAATGTCTATCAATTTCAATTATATATCAAAGTGATAGAACTCATTCACAAAAAAGAAATTTACCAATGCTTCGAAATTTTCAAAATATCTTTCAATTGTATTTTCTCACAATAGTAATCCTAAAAGCAATGACAACAAAATTAAAAGTTTTAAAAATAAAAGAAAGTTAAATCATAGATAAAATACGTAAGATGGACGGTGGAATTCATATGTTAGCCTACTATTTCTTGTCGGCTTGTACAAAGTAATAACTTTTATTTTACCCACGTGGAAAGCTAATATCTCAGTAGCAGCTAAAATCTAGCAAAGCAAGATGGATCCTATTAAAAGAAAAAAAAAAACACATTTGCCCTTTAACAGTGAACCAGTGATGACAAATGGAAATACAATCAAAATCTTAGATTGCACAATTTGTTCAATACATTATTAAAAATATTATATACTGAGGATTAGAACGTGCCCACATTGGTGTTGAAAAAAATGATGAACGACATCCTTAACTCATGAGTTACTAAGGAGAATGTTTGCTAAACGTGGACCCGACAAAAAAAAACCGTAAATTTAAGCTTAAAAATACACTTAATTTAAGCCTCTAAATAAAAAGAAACACTGTAAAATCATGAAAATATTGTCCAATAAAGTGAGAAGTTGAAAACCCAAAATTTGAGCATATATTATTTATAAATGAACCGAATCTAATACACTCTAAATGTTTAATTAGTTTAGAAGAAATTTTTTAAGTCTTATAAGTGTGAAATCTTAATACATTCCCTTCACTCATAAAATTAGACATCTGAAACATGAAATTTACAAAATTAAATATCTACACAAGTGACCTAATGTAATAATTTTCTTGCTTAATTAATTACTATTTCTAAAAATTTGTTTTCTAAATGTCAAAATATTTTTATTTTTAATATAATTATTTTTTAAACTTTTATTTATTTTATCTGTTAACGATCATGTACTTGTCAAAAATTAAAGAATTTAATGGGACCAATAATTAATATTTAAAGAGAAAAAAAATAATGATATTTAAAATGATATTAACATAAGTTAAAAATGTTAAGCACACACCTACGTATAGGGAAAAAAAAAAAAGATAATTTATATTTTACCTCCCTGTTTTTTATTTACTTTCTATATTTATTTGGTCAATACAAATTATTTTGAGAGCAGAAACGAGTGATGTAACAAAAGAAGTACAAGAGAGTTTAATGATATGAAAATGTAAGAAATAAATTAAGAAAGCGCAAAACTATACGAGGTTACCCTAAAAAAAATTACAAGCTTCAAGCCTTCATATGTTGCGAGAACAAGCCTCACTTTGGAACTAGCTTTAAAAAATTTCTAATTCTGCAAATCTAACGCAGGTGAAGGATATATTTTGACCCAATGAATAATGGGTAAATTATCTATTTTATTTACAAAACGTTACCGACGTGAAACTCTATAAAAAAATTGCAGAATATTTCGTATGGAAATTATAATAGGAAAGAAGTTATTCTCCTTACTTAATCCATATTGCTCTCTTTTCCACATCCTTAGCTGTTTCATGGCTGGTTGAAGATGATTTGCAATCAAACCATGGCCCCTTCTTGGTATTCATAGTTATTTAAGAAGCTAGCGTTTAACAGTGTCAATAATTTAAACAAGTAAATAAATAATTTACATTATTACTTTAGAAAATATTAAATATAATTTATGCTTTCTAGATAGTGAATACTTTTACTTCTTTGTATTTTATGTTTCATTTATTAAAATATTTTTCTGATAACACATGTTAAAAAAAAAAAAGTCTAAAAAAAGAAGGTATATCAAAATACACATTATACAATCTATTACAATTGAGCATGTATGCGAAATTAACTACATGAGAAGTCACTTCAATTTTCGTTTTCCAATTTAATTTCACATTGAGCTTTCCCCATCATGTTCAATTTCTGAGGCCCCTTCATCCTCTTCTTGCATGCAATCAATGTCAATAGCACCGTGGCCATGGCCAAAGGCCTTTATGTGATCTTTTAGAGATCTTTTGTGTTTGAAATCAGACCCACATAAGCAATACCAAATTTTGCCACAGTTCTTCTCATGTGTCCGCCAGTCACCTTTCACTGCAAATGCTTTGTCACATTTTCTACACATGTAGGGTTTTATGCCATGCTTTCTCTTATAATGCGTTTGAAGAGTCCTGAAATCCTTGAGGGGCCTTGCTCTTGGGTGGTCAATGTTGTGCTTGCAACCTGGGGCACAACAAAAGCATGGAAGCCTCAACATAGCTGATGGTTGTGTCCCTTTTAGAGAATCAGGCCCCTTTCTATATTGTGATCCATGTCCCCACATATGCATCTGCAAAGTAATGGGAAATTTAATATATGTATTCTAATGAGTTTAATTTTGATATACAACGTAAATTATAAATAAAAAAGAGTGAACCAATTAAAAGAATACCAATTATATAATTTTTAAAATAATTATTATTGGATGATAGTATAAAAATTATTCACGTTATTAGAGTACTAGCTCTAATAATGAAATTCATTGATACATGTACAAAAAGAGAGAACCAAATTATGAGCTCTTTCACCGTCAGACTTGGCACATTCTCAGTTTTGAGATTTAAATAACTTGCAGCCAAACAGATATCAAACAACCAGAAATTTGAAACTAGCTCCCCATTCCCACCATCAAAAGAAAAGTTCTTAAGAAAGGTAAATAAGATAATGAGAAAGAGAAAGAGAAAGAGAAAGAGAAAGAGTGATATATTAATTTATGAAAGTGCCATGGATGTTTCATTAATCAGCTTCAACTTTCAAACTGCCCTTGAAATCACAAGGTAAAATACTATTATATTAATTAACTAGCAAAATCAAAACAAATGCCAAACAGAAGGATCAAATAATAATATTTCTAGTTTCCACCCCAAGATGGCGTATAGCGCAGCAACCGGAAGCTTTTACAATTTGCACAAAATAGTTACTGGCACGAATATTAACGAGGCTTTCTCAATTCTACAAAAATTAAATCATGGGGTAGAGGAGTGGCTCGTTATTCTCGAGACATTTCAGGTGATTCGATGTATGAATCTTCTCCTAGACTTGGCTTTGGACGTTTTTACTGTGCTTTTAACAATAGTGAACTCACACTTATGATAAATAACATCCAAATCCTGAAAATAGCACTTTGATTAATAATTTCATAAATTTAGACAGCGCAACACAATATTAATTCTGGGCTACATGAATACAGAAGGAACATTAATTCAAACACACAATATCTTTTGAAAAAACAAATGCAATCCTTAATCAAAGTTCTGAGTCTAATACCAAAAAGCTAGTCACGTTCACACACACAAAGATCCAAAACACCATGCAAAAGAATAGATAAGAACACCAAATGAGGAAACACCGCAGGCCTCACCTGTGCCAATATTATTGTGAAAATGTTTTCGAAAATTGGTGACTTTACATTTAAAAAAAAAAAAACACACACACACACACGCACAAGAAATACAGAAGTACTGTATGTAAAGTTTCCAGGATTTTCTTTTTACATTTTTTTATGTATAAAGATTACAAGGAAATTAAAAAAAATAACATATTTCCATACCTGAAGATTATTATATCTGTTGAAAGTCTTAGAGCACACAGAACATGAGAACTGAGTAGGACCAATAAGAATCTGAGAAGGGGAGGGAATCCAATACTGAACCTTGTTTAATCTATCCAAAGGGTGTCCAGAAATAACATTCACTTCCCCCTTTTCACCCATTTGTGCACAAGTTGACATCTCCCTTGATCCCAGAAGATCAGAAGCAGCCATGCTAGGAAGCCCTATGCTCAGTGCTACTGTCACAGCTTCATCATCAACCTCTTCAGTACTAGTCATCAAAAGGCTCTCATCTTTGTCCTTTTTCTTCTCCCCTTCCTCTTCAACAGCGCTAGTACTGTTTGAGGGTTCATTTTCCTTCTGATTTGTGAGGCTTATGTTGTTTATGAGAGGAAGGGCTTCTCTGAGAGGAGGGGAAGAAGGAGGAGCTAACAAAGATGAAGGTTCGGATTGAATGGAAAAGGTGTTGTCGTTTGAGTATGGAAAAGGGTAGGAAGAGAATAGGTTGGATTGAGAATTAGTGAAAGAAGTGTAGTGAGAATGAAGGGGCATGAAGTTGAAGCATCCACTGTATAAATTGGACTGAGGATCTGTCATAGTGAAATCCTTAGAAGGTTTGGATCTTTGGCCAGTTGTAAGATTAGAGTGATATATAAATATATTGCGCGCATGTGAAGAGAGAGAAAGGGAGAGGGACTTAAATCATTTCTTCTAATTTCTTTTTGTCTTATTTCTTGTTATCTTAATTAAAAAATTGTATAATTAAGTAATATTTTTCCTAATTAATAGTTTTGTATTTATTCTTTTTCTATTGATTAAAAGACTATTTTATAGTTAAAAATATAATTTTTCCCAATTGTTATTTTTTATTTAGTGTTATATTTTAGTTGAGTGAAAGAAAAGTTATAAAAAATGCACAAGTGATTTGGTGTGCGTAAAAGCTATGCTAAATACACTATTCAAGTTGGATATAACTGTTATAAATAATAAAATTTAACTTCTAAATATTTAATATAATTAAATTTATTGAGATTTAAATTTAATTTAATATTATATGTTAAATTAAAACAACCCTTGAAACTTAATTCACATGCTCCACAGTAAAGTTTTTTTAATTGACGACAAGAGAATGATTTTTAAATTATTAATGTTATTAAAATCATTTTTATCTTTTTTATATGATATTTTGTTAATTAATGTCCTAAAAATATTGATAAAAAGATTTAAATTTAAACAATTTTTATATTAAAAGTCATATAAATACATAAAAAATTATGAGGATATATTAATAATATTTTTAATAAAAGATATTGGTTAATATTTTCCTTTTATATGTACTAAAAGAATAAAACCTAAATTATATATTTGAGCAAATTATTTATACAATAATTAATCAGACATGGTAAAATGCAAGTGTTCATTCTGATGGTGAGAAAGAGGGGATATCATGAAGAGGCATATTGTTAAATTTCACTGTAAAAGAAGTGAGCAAAAGTGGGTGGAAGGTATTCAAGAAATTACCCTCTGCAAAAACAATAAGAGAAGTTAAAGGGTTGAGGGAAAGCAAAAAATGGAGCAATTGATTAGACATATGCAGGTTGTCTCCCCAAGAGATAGAGATGTTGCGCCACCACACATAAACACACCCAAGAGAGAAGAGAGAGAACATTCTGTTATTTTTAGCTTTTCGCTTTTTCTCTTGCCTCTTTAAGCGGGTAGATCTTATTTTATATACTTACCTTCGCCCAGCATTTGCTTGGGTGAGCGTGTTTAGTGTTTCTTACATTTGCACGCATACTTATACTTACTGTTCATTCTGCCATTCTCACGTTCTGGCTTTTTGTCTGATTAGTCAGCAAAATATCAAATGTACTATTGATTTTGGAGTCAGAGTTTAGTTTGATTATTTCTAAATCACTTCTAGCATTTCTTTTTTGTTTATTCCAAGCATTACCATCGATCTCTTTCAGCTACCATTCAGGTTTGGTACTTCTTATCCCTTTTCTGTAATTTTGTTTATTTGACGAAATCTTACTATTAATACATTTGTTGATTGAATTATTAAAAGAGCGACTTTTATGTAACGATGTACCTTTTCTGTTTATTTAGTTGAGTAACGTTAAATATATCTCTTTGATGTTTTAAATTACTTAAATTAATAAATTTCAAATATGATTTTTTTATTTACTGATAGACATGGCTTTAAAATAAAATATAAAATTAGTAACATTGAAATATAAGTAACTTTATCACTATTTAAATAAGAATGTAAACAGGCACTAAAATTTCATCAAAATTTTTAAGTAATATTATATATTGAATTTCTAGGTATTAATTATTACTTTTATAATTTAGCATAATTTTAAAAGTATTTGTAATAACATTTTTAGTTCATATTTATCTTATATAAATAATCTTATTTTTTAAGAGATTTTTAAAAAAATATAACAACTAACGTGAATTAGTATATTATATGACTCATAAACAAGTTAATAAGATAATTTATTATAACAAATTTTAAAAGTTATAGTATTTATAATTTAATTATTAATAAATTTTATAAATTAAAGATTTTTAAAAACATTAAATATTTTAAACAAGTCCTTCAAAAGTATTTTTCTTCTAAAATAAATACCTTTTAAAAACATAATTATAACATTTATAAAAGTAAGTTTCTTTTTTCATTTACATAAAATCCAATTCTATTATTTCAAACTCATTTTATTTCATCTTTATTTTTGAAGCTAACTCAAACATTTTCTTTGTGTTTCTAATAAATATTTCGATAAATTTCATGATTGTTGTTAAAATTTAAGTAATAAAAGCTCGAAAGTGATATCCAAAATAAGTGATAAAATAAAATCAAGTAATCTATATTTAGAATAGTATCGTAGAAAACTTGTTTAATTACTATTTATCCTGCTTCAATTCGTTTTTATTTTTCTTCCCAAATAGAATGCAAACATGTTTCCTAAATCTTGCAACCTCTTTGCATTGTCATGTTTGAATTGTGATCTTTATAAATAGAATCAATTAAATTTATAAAAAACATATATTTATCATAATTCTTTTAAAAACAAACAATTTAGCTAAATCAAAATTAAAGACAATGACTAAAGAAATGTAATTAAAAGCTAAAAAAATGTAAAAAAATTATTCTTTATAATTTTTACTTAAGTAATATCATATTCGCTTAAGCTAATTTTATACATCGGTGAAAATATAAATTTTTTAATATTCATTTAAGTCATTATTTTTAGTTTAAATAATTCAATTTTGCTTGAGCTGTAATAATTTAGCTTAAGCAAAAATATGATATTTAATCTTCGCTTAAGTTGGACTTTATTTGTTTAAGTAAATATTTGAATATCTTGTGTGACTTGAGCAAATTAATGATCGCTTAAGCGATATTTATCCCGTGAGCTATTTTTTTCTTGTAACTTTAACTTAAGTGATAAAAATATGGTTTAAGCAAAATGTACAAAAATTATGCAAAGCAAATGCGACCACTATACCAAAAAAGTATGAGGAAGATCTAAAATAACATTGAATAATTTATCAATACAAAAACTTATTTTCATAATGAATTGAGATTGTGAGAGTGAATGTGTATGAAAATCATAAATTTCATACATGGAGTTTGCAAAGAATCCTAAATATTTAAAATGACATTCAATGTTTTATTAGTTCAAAAGTTATTTGTAATTTTAAATTGAAATTGCATCAGTGCATATGAATGTAAATTTTTTTAAAATCACTACCTAAATGCATATGCATATAAGATTTGCTTAGAAAAGATAAAAAAATGACAATACAATCATATAAAGAGATAAAATAACAAGTTTTAAAGGTCAAATAATTTTACAAATTTTTAAAGAAGATTAAATCATAAATATATAAAAATTAGTATTATTAAATTACATGTCAAATATCTCAACCGTTTAATTTTTAAAAAATAAATCTAACAATTTAAAAAGGCCCATTCATGCACTATTTACTTACTAACTCAAGTTAACTTGAGCCGAAAAAATTGTAATGTATCTAACTTGAAAGAGGAAGGGAGAAAATGGTTTAAAAAGGGAAAGAGGAGAAGAGAAAGAGAATTAAACATCTCTCCTATTCGGATGTTTAATATTAAAAAGTGAGAATGATAAAAAGTTTAATAATATAAATGACATTATTATCTTTTATATTTTTTATTTATAACTAAGCATTCTAATTATAGTTTCACAATTTGAAGGGTTGATTAATGTCTAAAATAAATATATAATATTTTTTTTTAACTTGTGTAATATTATTCATAATTAACAATTTATATATAATAAATATTTATTAGAAATTATAATATTTAATAATTATAATTATAATATATTAAATATAAAAATTTTCAATAATATAATATTCCGAAAGTCAGAAAAACTGATACATAATATGCAACTCATACCAATAAATACCTTACATGTACCGAACTGGTAAATTGGTTATTTCCTTGGAATTGTACCGAATGTTCCTGATAAGGGTGACGAAAACACACAACCTGTGGAAAATGACATCTACATTGTCGTTTTATTCTTATAATTCAACACTGGTCATATTTATGAGAGCAACTCTGTAAATTCTATTCCTTTTACAATAAGTCCTCAAGAGAAGTTTCGAGTATTAACACGTTTTGGATACGTGGAGCACATATCAGGCACAATATTCGGAGATAGAGTTAGTTGGCGGGGAAGAAGTGGTTTGATGCGTTGTGGACAAAATCGAAGCACGAAAATGAGATGCAAACGTGAAGATAATGGCTGGGAGAAGCATATGACAAGAGTTAGGCGTAGACAGCGATTGACAAATTAATTAAAACTATGCTGTGATCTAGTAATTAGTAAGAAATTAAACAAGTGTTGAAATATGTTTAAAGTCACTAAATTAGCACAATTTATGATTTTTTAAAATTTCTTATATAAAATTTATTTTTATTTATTTTATAATTTTTATAGTCAAATTTAATGAATAAAAACATTTATATATATGATTTAATTAAATATTTATTTAATGTAATATTTTAATGATGACTTATATCATTAAATTTAATTATAATATTTATTAGAATAAATTAAAAACAGATTCCTTTAATAAGATATATTAAATAAAAATTTTGTTAAAACAAATTAAAAAAAAACATAATAATTATAAACCATTTTTATAAGTTATTTAACTATCTATCTAAACCTAATTACGAAATAAAAGATTTAAGTAACATGTAACGACTTAAGTAGCATTTGAAATTGTGCTACAGCATCTCAGTGTTGCAGTCGTTACCTAAACCCAAACCAATCAGTGTCATAGCAATTGTAATGCAACAGTAACAAAAACTGCAATTTAAATATCACCTGAATAAGCTGCGGGTTTAATGTAAACAAACTTCAACTTTTAGGCTATGACCGATAAAACGAGTAAAAAAAAATGTAAATTTGTAGTTTTTAACTATAAATTCGCACATGAAAGTTTATAGTTGCATACTAATTTATAAAATTAAATTTTTTTGACAAATTAATTAATTATTTAGCTTATTTATATTAAATGACTTAAAATAATATATAATA